TACGATCATAAAAACACCACTCACCAAATCTAACTGCTTTTATCAACTAAGCTGTTTATAGGTTACACAATGTATCTATTTGAGAAGCGACCGAAACACTGCCACTGGTTCGATGGTATCAATATCATAATTAATTGGTTTTCTTCAGCAATTTGGCACGTTTTTAATCAAATTAGAAACTACTTCACTTCATTTGAATGTTTGAAATCAAAACTTGCAAAGTTTTTTTCTTTTAAAGTTAATAAGATTTGAATTAGAGCTTCTATCTTTTTATATTTTGTTTCTGACCAAATATTGCATTTTTTTGGTAAATGTTTTTGATAAACTTGTCAAAAAAATCTATTTTATTCCATTGTTGATTTTCAAATAAAAATAAACCATGCCATTAATAATTGTTAATAACAATAATTCAATATACTAAAATATGTTTGGTAATAAATAGATTGAGCAATAATAATAATTCAATACACATGATGTAAACCTTTATTAAAAAGTACTCCAGAAAATTATTATTAAGATAATCCTTTCATAAAATGTATAAAAATATTAATTCTGTACTGATAATTACATAATTACATGGGAAATGTAGATTCATAAATTTATGTTCATAACAATTTTCAGCTTCATCTAATTCTCATGTATAATTTTGTAAGTATTATATTTGTAACTTTGTAAAATTTATTTGTTTAAGCAAATTTCATACAAATTCAACAAATATTAGACCTATACCTATCATATTGAAGAGTAAGTTAAGTTAATAATCTTAAGTTATGCCACCACTAAAATTATATAAATAGCATAGAATTGACAGCGACTCGTGCTTTCAGACAGTTAACATCTTCTAACCTTTTTCTTTTTTTTGGAATAGATATCTTTTAAAACTTTGAAAGATATTTTTAATTCAATGTAAGATGCAAAAGTTAGTGTTGACAATATAGGAATATATGCAGAAACATCAAAATTTAAAATATTATTAATTTGTCAAATATTTTAATTTCATTATTAACTATCTTTATTTTGGTTTTGATTTTTTTTTGTAAATTCAATACAGCATGTATACAATCGAAAAATAATTCTCCTTCAATGTAAGAAACTCTTGATATAAAGAAAAATTTTATAGTTCTGATTAAAAATTTATAACTAAAAGCTTTTGATACAAGAAGACTTTGTCAAGATCTTGGATACTATTTCTTTAAACAAACTTCATTTTAAATCAAATGCAAATGAATCTAATACTATAATGTATTTTACTGTTACAAAAATTATGATAGATATAGATACAATAATTTTGATTTTTAAATTTTCATTTTCTGCTTTTAATTGAGTATAATCTTTGATAAGTCTCTCTTGTTCAACATTTAATATCCAATTTTTGATTTAATTTTTTTTAATAATCCATGTGCTCATGTTACTTTATTCTTTAGCACTTGTACTTCATTCTTTATCACTTGTACTTCATTCTTTAGCATTTTAACAGAGTTATTTTTTGGTTCGTCCCATCTAAATAAAAAAATAGTTAGAAAAGATTACAATTTCTTTTCTTGTGTATGATACCAAAAAAATGGATATAAAATAAAAAGCAAATGTAAATAAAAAATAAGGAGGATATAAAAATTAAAATGTTCACTGAAGTCTTATGACTCACTCTGCATAAATGACAGGCTTTGCTCTTAAAGATATTTTTTATTTTTTTATATGAAGCTAGGCTCATTGCCAGAAAAAAAATATATACAAGGGAAAATGTCTTCTAGGGCATCGATAACTGATAGATAAAAATATTCAACCATGAATAGTAGGTTGGCCATGACATGCTTTCGATTCTCTAACAGAATTTGTTATACTGTAGACAGCTGCTAGCAAAAAGTATACATACCTTTACTTTATAAACAACTTATGCAATAATGTAAGTGTATAGATAAACATAAACTGATGATGATAATGAAGTTTATTATAAAAATAGGAAAATAATTTTTCACATTTTAAGAAGTAGGAAAATTCAATAAATTTTCATACTAGAAATCTGTGATGTAATTCGTGATCAACCAATCAGATTATTGGTAGTTTAACAAACATAATTGATTTCAGTTATTTGGGTTTATATATTTCATGCAAGATTTTTGTTTACCAATAAATTTATACAGTTTCGTTGAATATTTGTTCATATTTGTAAAAAAAAACATCTTTTAAAAACCTGTTATTAGTATTTATTTCAAAGGATGCATTAAATTCTGAATCAGAATTTCAAATATAAAACTTGAGGAAAGGAAAATTTTTATTTGTTTATTAGACATACAATATTAATTACTCAGTTTCAATTTTTAAATGGAGTTCAATATATGTATTAAGTTTAAAGTAAAAATTATTCAATTGTTTGTTTTATAGAAACATTTTTAATATAACTATTTTATTTTTTTTGATTTATATATTGCTGAGTTTGATATTTTCAAAAAGCTTACTTAATCAATAAAGTATTAAAAGATTGTGATTAACATATTTTTTGAAATAATTTTGTCTGCTTTCTATATTTTGTAATTTTTATCATGAATACCTGAGTAGTTAGAGATTTGTATTGATCATTTAATAGGTTAGTAATTTACTATTCTTAATTGGTAAGTTAAATAATTCTAAACAAAAAAAATTCAAAAATTTGAAGCTGAGTTGCTTTATTCTTACATAATGTTAATGCGAGAAAGAGATCAATTACCAGCACACCAAAGCACTAAATCTTATTTACTCATTATCACATTTCTTTTTCTTTTTGATAAAGTATTGCAAACAAGAACAAGAAAATAAAACCAATGGCAAATCATTAATGAATAACTGGAAAGGCAGAGATATCAAAAACCACATAAACAAAAAAATTTACATTGTAAATAATCATTCAATCTTAAAGTATTAGACTAGATGTTGGAAAATTTTTCACATTCTTTGGGTTACAAATATTGTACCAAGTGAATTAATAGAAGCCAAGTTAATTGCAAAATATTTTTGCAATGCAACAGAATCAGAATACAATTTTCTAATTCAAGTGTTATTAGAAGATCTAAAATTTGCAAAATTTTCAAACCCACAAGTTGAAGATTTATTAATATTAGTTGACATTGCTAAGAAATTTTATTAAAATGATAATTTTCATAGAAGTTCTTTTTTTTTTGCTTATAGCAAATGTTTTACCTTTAATAAATTAAATATTTTTTAACATCTCAAACTATAAGGCAATTTACATTTAGAAAAATAGCAATATTATTTTTTGTACATAATCTTGCACCTACCAAATTCTGATGTTCAAAAACACACTAATAATCTGTTTGAATTTTCTTTTATATTCATTTCTATTTTTTTTGATCTAAATTTTCAGGATCATTTGAGATTTTATGTTTATACAAGTTTAATTTTTGTATTTTGGTAATAATACATATAAGAGTTTATTTTAATATTAATTAGCAATTGCTGAAAGAAAAATTAAGTCTTATGCTATATACAGTCAATTTGACAAGTCAATTATTTATTACAGAAAACGAAAGGCAAATACTCAAAAAAATATAATTAAACCAAATAAGAAAGCAGTAGGTTCAATATAGTAAATAACAGAATCTCTATCCAGTACATTAAAAATATTATAGTTAAAATTATAGAATAATCTGGGATTAAAAGAAAAGACAAAACTTTAAAATATGGTTTTAATCACTACATAATTTTAAATTAATAATTTTAAAAACACTATTGAAAACTAATGTAAATTTATTTATCCCTTTAGCTAATTTTATACCAATTTGTAGACTATATGACATCTGAATGTCTAGCTATTATTGTAATAAATAATTAATATCTTAATATGTTTTTTTGTTAATTTTTTTCTAATTACAAGCAGAGATATTAGGATTGATTTTTAAAGATTAAGTTTTATGATTACTTTTTTTTTGTTCCTTTTTCTGTTTACTTATTATTGATTCTTGTATTTTTTTGCATTTTAAACAATTATTTTGTTTTTGACTACAAATAAAATTATATATTTTACATTTTTTCTGATGTTTTGAGCAATATCCGGATTTATTATATGTGTTACAATAATGGTTGCTATTTGATAAAGGCATAGAGAAAATTAATAATGTTTTATATTGATTTATTGTTCTAAGCATAGTAATATTTATATAAAACTCTGAATTTAGAATTTATTCAATTGAATAAACTCTCTACAATTGAACTATGACAACAAATAACACAATAAATTTGAACTAAATGTAAAGATTATTATATTTTTCTATTATATTCATTAATCAAAACTTTTGATTAATATAAATATTCTAAAATTAAGTTAGACTTAATATTGTATTGTTTTAAAAATATTAAATTAAAAATTTTATTAATATAATATTAATCAATTCATTGAAAAATATTCATTAACAGAAATGCAGTGTTTACAAAAGTAGCAAAACTGATTATTCTACTGTTTCTTTTATAACCAACAATGTCAAAAAAAGTATTATGACTAGTGATACTTAAGAATCAAAAATATTAATATATAAAAATTTATTTTCTTTATTTTTCTAATATAATAGTTTTTTGGTTTTAAAATTTAATTACAATTACAATTTTTTTAATTAACAAATTGTGATTTTTATTAGATTTTATATTTAGATTACAGATTAGTTTACACAAAATATGTATCTTTTTTAATTAAAAAAATTTTTACTATGTATACCTAGTAGGGTCATTTGGGTCAATTATCTAGAAATTCTATTTCCAAATTTATTAAAAAAATCTTCAACTTTCTATACTTCTTGACTAAATACTACAGAATAAAATTCTTTTTTTTCATCATTTACATTGTCAAATATGCAAATAAAAACAGGATTACAATGAGACATTTCATTATGAAAAAATTTCTGTAGAATTATATTTTACTTATACTTCTCGCTAGTTTGTTCTATCATTTGATTGTTAATTATCCAAACTAGAAAAGTACATAGGCATTTTATTGGAAATGTGCCAAAACATTCCTAATCGATAACTCCTGTAATTTTGTAATCATTGACTAAAATATTTGATGAGTGAAAGTCTCTATGCATCAACACAAATGTGATTTTGTTTTTATCTGAAAAATATTTAGGAACTAAATTATATAATTCTTCATATTTTGGAATCCAGTATTTTTGTTGCTTTTTAGATTTAAAGGTATAATTATATAGGATCTGATTTCGAATAACAGCTAAAATATATTCATTAGTTGTGTTGAAAGAACCTCTTTCTATAGTTGATAAAGTTGCTTGTTCATCAGTAAAAAAGTCACTTTCAATCACCTGTCCAATTTTAAATTGTCATTTTTACCAACAAAAAAAATACTACCAATTTTTAAAAATGAAAGTTTTTTAAGTCCCAATTGAATGTCTATAATTTTTAATAGAAACATCTTTTTTTTTCATTCAGAGGTCACTCCAAATATTACAAAGACAAATGCCAGGTAAATATTCCATTAAAATATATTCTGTTCCTACTGGATTATTAACAGAACTATTCCAATAATAAACTTTGGGAACAGGAATGTTCAAATTTAAATGAATATACTCTATAACAGCTACCTCACTTTCTGTCTTCCATTGTGAATATACAGGAAATGCTACTTTCCCAATATATTTATTACCATTTTTTATCTTTAAGATATACAATTTATGAAAACCACCTTCACTAAATTCTTGTATAGAAGTACATTGTACGTGAAATATGTTCGATGCAGACTTTTGTAAAGCATCCAAATTTACATTATGTTTAATAGTTTTTTCTGAATTGCTTTCTGTACTTTCTTGGCTTTGATGGCTAGGGAGTTATTGGACATTTTGTTAGCAATTAAATAATTTATAATTTGTAATTTTTTTATTTATTTAACATGTAATAATTGTATTGTATTGCTATTTATATTAAATTTAATTAAGCAACTCTAATTTAATTATAATTGAAGATTTCACAATTCACAGGAATATAATTTGAGAATGCAATTTTATGGTGATGAAAAAGAAAAACCTGATGATATTTATAATTGGTTTAAAGAGAAATATTATTTGACTGCAGAAATATTTTTAAATACAACGAATACCAAAATTTTGATTACAGGTTTTGCAAACCAAGTTCATACAAAATAAGATCAAATTTGTATGAAATTGGTAGCAAAACCTGCATTTCAGATCTTTTGCAACAGCTATTTTTCTTATACACTTATAATTTGATTATGAGAGAAAGAAATAAAATTCTTCAAAATGACAAACTCAAAGTTCTGTTTTTGTTTAAAAGTTTTATACTGTAGTTTTTAGTTCATACTTTACTCTAAAACACTAGAGCTATAGATAATTTATATTAAATTAATATACTACAGCTCTAAGGTGGAATGTAAACTTGGTTAATATAATTTTAAAACTTTTTAAACCATAATTTATTGTAATTCAATCTATTTAAATAAATTTGATAAACTGTGTTATAATTTTGGCAATTACTAAGTTTATTGTGTTTTGTCATAATTTATAATAAAGAAGAAAAATATTAAAAAAATAATAGCTAAAACTTTTAAACAAAAAATTTATAGGTTTTGCATAACAACTTCATACAAACTGGAAAAGTACATAGGTATTTTATTGAAATATGCCAGAGCATTTCCAATCATAATATTTGATAGTAAAAGTCTTCATGCATCAATACAAACATGGTTTTGTTTTTATCAGGAAAATATTTAGAAACCAATTTATATAATTCTTTATATTTGGAATCCAGTATTTTTGTTGCTTTATAGATTTAAAGGTATAATAATATAGGATCTGATTTCGAATAACAACTAAATTTATTAGTTATGTCAAAAGGATGTTTGAATTTAAACGAATATGCTACATCACTTTCTGTCATCCATTGTGAATATTCAGTAAATGCTACTTTCCCAATATATTCTTTACCATCTTTCATCTTTAAGATGTACACTTTATAAAAACCATCTTTGCTAAATTCTTGTATAGAGGTACATTGTACATGAAATACATTTGATGCAGACTTTAGTAAAGCATCCAAATTTACATTATGCTCGATAGAATTTTCTGAATTGCTTTCTGTACTTTATTGGCTTTGATGACTAGGAGAGTTATTGGACATCTTGTTAGCAATAAAATAATTTACAATTTGTGAATTTTATATTTAATTATTCATATTAAGCAACTTAAATGTAATTAATTTGAGAAAGCAATTAAAAGATGCAATTACAGTATAACATATGTAAATAAAGTTCAATGCCTTATTGTGACTGATTCTATTTTAAGTTACTCAAAAACTTTATAAACATTCCTTGAATTTTTTTTTTAAAAGCATCTTCAACTCACAAATAACTAATTTAAATGTGCTGGCCTAATGCCAATATGCTTGATAAAGACTTTTCTTAAAAACTACCATCTCTTCACAAAACACTTCAAATATTTTAAATATAATTTACTAATAGAATAGTATTAAAATTGAATGTTAAATTATTTATTACACTTATGTGTTTGATATTCTTTAATTTTTTTAGAAGTTTTTAATATTATTTTAACACTTTTAGCTTTAGATAATATTTTATAAATTTTTAAAGCATCATTATATTTTTGTTTTTGATCAAGATAATTTGCAACCATTAAAGTGTAGTTCTCATTTTTTTTTAGTACCATTTCTAGTTAAATTACAAAGTGCAATATAATACATAGCAGTACCATATATTTCAAAACCCTCATTATGAGTATAATTTTCTTGTGTTTTACTAGTAAGATGTTTGAATAGATTGTAGGCCAATTTATAGTCTCCATTATTATAAAGTCATTTTGCAAGGTCTAATTTAAATGCATTCCAACTTTTACCTAATGTTTTATTTATATTTCTAATGATAATTATTCTATTTTACAATTTTTGTTCTATATATATAATTTTTTAAAAATATGAGAATTGTGTATTTTTTCTCAGTGTCACATAACAAGAGAACGTCGAAGTATTTGACAATGCAGTAAGTATATCTAAAATCTTTAAATAGTGCACTAGATGCTTCGATCATTAAATGATTCTATTCACAAATAATTTATATTGAAATTGAAATTAAATAATTTATATTTAAATTGAAAAAAATCCAATTACCTGTATTGTACAAAAGTGTTAAAACTAAGATGGATTATTTAATTATGCTTAACAATTAAGTATTCACTATTTGATGAATTTGAATTTACGATTGTTGAATTTCTTTAACTTAATTCTGTGGCACTATAAATTAATTTAAATTGTCTTAAAGTTAAATTCTAATTATTAAGTATTTTTTCAACTTAATAAACAATTGATAATTTTTTTTGCTGTTTGATGAAAAAAATAATAAATAGAGAAAAATTTTTATTTGTTTTTTATCTAGACACAAACTAATAGTGAAAACTGTAAAACCAAATCAAACTATAAATTCAATTTTTGACTAATTATCATTAGTTAAATAATCTATTAATAATATGTTAATTTTTGATCTTCAAATCACTGCTAGGGGAATGGTTACATTGGAATGAGATATTGCTTCGATTGAAATCATGATTATTAGCACCATCAAAGTTGTCAAAACTGTCAAAAATAATGAGTTACAGAATGTTTACAAAGAACTTGGTAAAAGCAGATTTACAAATACTCTAAATGTACTTTCGAAAGTAAATAAATAGTGTTTATAAATTTTTATTGGTAATAATTGCATCTCTAGTAATTAGATATCAAACTTACTAAATTTTAATATGATTAGATATTACTGTATGCTTTAAGTTACAAAGCTTGTATAAATAATATACAATAATGAAAAATATTTGCAAGTCATGTAATCTGTAATTTTTGAACTCAGGTAATAATAGGAATGTACAAATCACGTAAATCAGTACATGTCCATAGATGGTCCTGTATATTTTAACCAAAATATGTCAATAATCTACCACTACAGGTAAATTTATTAATAGAAGTTGGAGCAGGTTTTGATAATTCAGGCTTATTATAAGACTTTTGATATTTTAGAATTTATTATTATAAATTTAATTCTAAAATATCAAAGCATTATTAAAAATGGTTTCAATCTCTTTAAATTATTTATATTATCACAGTTTATATTACTAGTGTCCAAAATTCTGTGGTACATAAATTTTTTATTCTATAAATATTTCTTGTATTGTATTTGGATTTAAACAATTCAAAAATATTTTTAGAGTGCACCCTAAGTTTAAATTCTTTCCTTATTTAAATTGCATAAACATACTTAACAGTACCAAATAAACAAACAAACTGTACATGTATAGAAATTGCTGTTATTGTTATGGTAATCTTAATATATAATAATTTATCTGGTAAACAAATAATATAGTAGTGAATTTGCTTTCTCTTTTGACTAATTCTTATTAAATTATAACTCAAACTTGCTAATATACTTAATTAATTATTACCTATTCACTTTTTTTATAAACAAATGGCTTCTAATATTGAACTTCTTCGTACAGTTTTAGAAACTCATGCTATCAATAAAAGGGATTTTTTCTCAAATTTTGATATTTATTATCCTGAATCCTTTTTCCAAATCTTTGGCAATACTTTTTCTGAAAAGGATATCAAAGAAGCAATTAAACAACTTCAAAATGAAGAGGAGTCTAATGGAATTAATGGTGAAATTGTCTTCAATGAAAATGACAGGAAATTATCATTATTTAAATGTTCATATACTATGTTAACTGATTTTTTTTTAAAATTATGGAAAACTAAAATGTGTATTTATCTCAAATATATTCCTTGAATTCTCTTAATTGTAGTGAGTTTTAAATACATCAAAACAACTATAGAAACATTACTTTCCTTGCCAAATTCCCCAAAACCCTCTTGTAAATGGAATTTAAAATATTTACAATTAAATTTAGTAATTACCTACCTTATAGAATAATTTGAATAAAATGTTAATTGTTTTTATTTGAATCCACATGCAAGATTAATCCTTTGGTTTTCAAACAATGATATAACTTAGTGCTGATTTCATATTCATGACAATCTTCAACACTTTGTAAATGGTTTGGCAATGATGATTCCAATGATACAGGTGTTAGAACTTTATTAAAATCAATATGTTGTAAAAACATTTCTTGTAGATTTGTTGGATCTTTGTTTGATAAAAAAATATTATTTATTCCTTTTCTAGTTCTGATTTCCTTTAAACTCGTTATATATTCTAATGGGATTTAAAATTATTACTATATGTTATAGAAATAATAAAATTTCTTATTTGTAATTCTTTAGATATTGACAGTTAATAAATGAAAAAAAAAATTTTAAAAAATCTTAGTTTAATTATAATATCATACCACAAGATAGTCTTTTCTTTTTATTATAAGCCTTTTCAACATCTAATTTTAGGTTGAATTATTAGTTTGCAATATTCATTATGCATTCAAAACATGATCATATACCATCAGAATCAGAATTTGATTCAAATAGTTCCTTTTGTTTGCCTTTAACTTGCTCTCTACTATCGTTGTAATCAAATTTATATTTCGATTTCTTTCATAAGATTTATTAATAATAATTTATATTTAATAATACTTTCAAATTTCTTTAAGAGTTTTATAATAAAGTTTGTGATTATTGGAGGTATTCAGGTAATAATAAATTTCTAACCTCTTCAGAAATATTTTTATCTTCTTCAGATGGATTTCCTATAGTTTGATGAATACTCTAAAATTATTTTAATTTTATTAATAAAATTATGCTTTTATCTAAGACAATTTTATATAAATTTTGAACCTGCTAGCATTTTAAAAAATATTATAAAATTTTTACCTTATTATTATTTGTAGAAGCCGACAGAATGTATTCATTTTCAGCATTTCTTCACTTTAATAGTAATAATATTGATAAATAGCTTTTAAAATCTTAAGATCATTAAATTAATACTTGTTTATCATTTACTACTTCATCATCATAGGTACTTCCATATTCTTTACTAATAAATTTATATAATATTTTGAGTTTGTTTTTAATATAGAATAATAAAAATAGCTTATTTACCATTATGATTTTGTATTAGTTTATATTTTCTTTTTCTATTTAATTTTTTAATTTTCTTTGTGTTGTTACTTGAATTTGAATCATCTGATTGGGTCTTATGTTTCAATTTCCTTGAACAACTCATGCAGTACCAGTTTCCAACTAGTATTCTTGCAAGTGGTAGTTTTAAACACCTGGTATGAAAGCCTTTACTACAAAATCCATTACACAGGAGAATATGACCTCGATCTCCTTTTTTTGCATACAGAACAAACACAAAAGTCACAAAATTCTTTTTTAGGTCCATAGCATTCTTCACATTTTGATTATCCTAAAGAATCATAATCACTACCATTATCATCACCACAAATATTTTTTGTCAAACTTAAATTTTTTAATAATATCAATAGTTTATGTGATTAAATATTTTTATTATTAGAATTTTAAATTTATATTAATTTCAATTAGAATAAATAATTCTCACTTGATCATTCTCAGTAATTTTGGAGATTTTATTTGTCTGATAGTCTTCTGTTCATTGAATTCTCCTTGAACTAATGTTGTTCCCAATTGCTTTAGCAACATTATAATTCAAATTTAATTTACTATTTTCATCAACTTGGAAGAATGATTCATTATCTCAATTAGCCTAGTTTTTATTTTACAGATGTTGAAATATTAAATGACTACTAAAATCTATTTTATAATTATATTATATTTTATATTTAGACTTTTTTCTAGTAAAGTAGAGTCACTTACATCAGTGTCTTTTGGTACTTCCAAATTTAGAGTAGTGTTAATTCCATTATCTAAGAAGATGGTTGCTAAGTGTAACTGGCTATTAAAAGTAACAGTGACAACTTTTTTTTCAGTTACTTTCCAAATTAGATTGATCAAATTTTTTATAATTTCTCTACTTTCAACAATTTTGCTCATTATTTTTTAATGTCAGTAGCCAAATGTTTGATTTTGAAAAGAAAAATATTTCAGAACCCTGAAATTCTTGTTATAATTTTCTTTACATTGCTTATATTAATATTAGTATAATGATTAGAGATTTGCCTCTCACGCAAAATACTGATGTCATTTTATTTAATTGGTTCTCATACAAGAATATATAAATAATTTATTATGATATCAACATTTTGCAAGTTATAAATTTAAGAATACATATTCTTCAAAAATGTAATGCTATTATACATGACAATGAATTCTCTGGTTATATTAAGCTAAATCATATTTGTGCAGTAACCAGAAATTTGTGTAATGAATAAAGAAACTAAATTAAAAATAAAATTAAGTGTGTATAACTAAAATGGTCTAATAGATTTTTAAAGGCATTTTTTCACAAATATAAATTTTGGTAAAAAATAAAATATTAAACATTAAGAACAAAATTTAAAAGACAATAATTGTATTGGCTTGGTATCATAATTCATTATCAAATTCTTCGATTTCCTTTGTTTAAAAAAAATAAATTAATAAATAAATAACACACTTACAAATGTAACCTAGTGACTTGCTTCTAGATAATAAATATTGATTATTATTGGCATTTACTTTGTCAATTGTAATAGAACTTTTCTCCAGCTAATTCAGCTCTTAACTTTCTATAATTATCTTCATTTAACAGAACTGCTTCAGGTGCTGAAATACAATGACTTATCAGCAATTAGTATTAATTTATTACAGTATTTTTCTTTTAAAGAGCTTTATTTGAATAAATCACTAAAATATATTAATAAAGTTATCATGAAATGACTATTTAAATAACTTAATACAGTAATATTTATAACAAACTTGGTTATTTTCATCTGAACAAAAAGTGTCACAAAAAGTTTCAAAGAAGTTTAAAATATAGTTGTTGGTAAAATTACAAAGCTACAATCTTTTTTTCAATGTTGTTTAAGTATTTTCTTTTAATTCATATACTTAATCTGTTCTTTGCAAAGGTTTTTTTGAGGTGAGTACATAGCAAAACCATACAATTTTACTGTATGCTTACACATATATTAAAATTATTCGTATAATTAAATTGGGGAGGTGACATATACTACTTAATTATTTAAATTTTTACATTGATCATTGCTTAGTAATGAATGTCACTTATATATGAAATGTAGTTTAATTACAATACACATTAAAAATAAATATTCTCTTATTCTAACTGTATCAATATGTAATTTATTATTAAAAAATTACAATGGCTAATCTAACTCAAGGTCATATTGTTTATATTAAATAATAAAATAAATTATTTTAAATACATGATTCATTACTTTCGACATGAACTAGTTTCTTAGAATAATCTCTAAAAGTAAATTAGTTAATTGTGTTATAAAATAATTTACAGATAAAACATAAAGCAGCTCTATTTTAATAATTATCCTCCTTTTATTCTTAAATATAGTAATAGAAACTGTTCTCTTCAAATTTTATATAGTATCCATTCTATCAATAAAACTTAGTAATAGTATTGTAAAAATATTCTTAAAATAAAATAAACTAACTCATTTTTTACTATTTTGAACTTATAATTTACAAAAATTTTTGCTTCAAAATTTTTCTTCATTGCATTTTTAATATCTGTTCTTATAATATCAATACATTCTGCAAGTAAATTTGGAAAACTATTACTTGCATATTTTAGTGGAATAAAAGAGTAAATTGACATATTATATTTTTTTTTATTAATCATTATGATATAAAGAATGTTTAAAAAGATTTGTAGATAATTTTTTTTTATGCAACCACTTTGTTAAATAATCTAATTAATGTAAATTAAAATTGAAATGTTAATTGAAATTTAATTTCAATAATGATAATAATAATACAATTCATTCAATTATCAAATTATAAATAAAAATATTAAATTTAATATAAATCTGAATGTTCAGGTCTCAGCTAATTGATTGAAAAAACTTTAACAATTTGTAACATAAATCTACTTTAAATGACAATTATTTACAATCTAAAAGCACTGCAATTAATTAATTAATTCTTTAATCGATTATGTATTAATGATGAGAAAACAACATTGCAAAGTGATTTACAAGCAGGAGCAAAGAAGATTTTTCTCTAAAGAATTCGTTAAAACTAACATTGCTCATGCTTGTGTTTTGATATTTCTTTTTAAAAAAAATCTATCTTTAAGGATACAAAATAAATTTAATAATTGGTCTTATTAAATCAACAAAATGTATCAGTTATGATAATAAATCTAAAATATAATTATTATTATTATGTAAACCATCTTAGTTAACACTTTTGAACAATACAGGCAATTGGATTTTTTTCAATTTAAATATGAATTATTTTTTTTCAATATTAACGAATTCAAATATGAATTATTCATAGATTAACGCATCTAAATTTTAGCAATTCTAACAATAAATAGGTTTAGTTTTTGTTATCATTTTGTAAGGTTCTTAATATAAATATTGTATTAGTGTACTATTTAAAAATTTTTATATATACCTAACTGTATTGTTATATACTTTAAATTATTTAAATGCAGAATTATTAAAATTATAAATATGAATGTTGTGGTGTTACACACAAAAGATTCATATTTATTTCAGCAATTGCAAATTAAACTCATCCTATTGATCACAGAAAAGAAGGTAAAAACAGAAAAAATAAATCAGGACATCAATAACTCTAAAAATTTTGAAGAAAAAAAAATTGAAAAATCAAATAAATTTTTTAAAAAATTAAGTTTATATATTTTATGTGATGTTTATTCAAAAAATTCCTCTTTAAAAAATTTTACATTTGTTGATTCTTAAAACAAAAAGAACAAAAATCACATCATTGTCAAAATTGAACCTTCAGCATGGAATGAACAAAAAGAAATCTTTTGTGTTGGATTCCTTGTAAAGGTAGCAATAGAACAAGCAATCAATGAGATTTTGCATCTGAAATGGATTTCTTGTACATTTTCTTTTAAATGAATTGTTTTAAAGGAAAAATGACTTGGGTAATCTTGTGATATGTTGGACTTTGAAAGATTCATAAAATATTTCTTTCTTTTTATTTAAGACAACTTTTCTTATTTATTACTTGTACAAGAAGTCCACAAATAAAAATCTGACACTTCAAATAAGTAAGATATTGTTCAGTCTAGGTTAAATAATAGCTTATTTAATATAAATTATTCAATATTAAAGTACACAATAACTTTCTATAAAAATTATATAAATAAAGAACTAATAAGTTATATAATGATAAATAATTTTTGTAAAAATAAGAAGTGAGTTTTTGTTCTCTAATTTTCATTCCAACCCAAAAAATATTATACTTAAAATTTTATAAAATTTTTTAAAATTATTGGAGACAAAAAAAATTTCATGATGAGGTCTTGAAACACACTAAGCAGTGAAAGTCTTGACTCTATTTTACAACTTATGTAAAGGTATAAACGGGCATTCATTAGAGTAATTATTATTGTTGTAATCTCTTTTTCGGTAAAATGAAGGTTAAAAAATTAAAAAAATATTTTAAGCTTATAAGAAAATAATTAAATTTCTCTAAGGGGCTATAATGAGCTCTTAAATGTCAGCTCTCTTAGAAAAAACAGTCAGTTTTTATGAAGTTGGTATGCAAAACCTGTAAATTGTGTACTTTAATATCAAATGATCTAAATTCATATGCTAACACACCAATTTAAGATGGGCTGAAACAATTTCCTTGTTTTGAAAAGCAAATTGTTTATAGCAGCAAAACCTAAAATTTTTTTTTCTAAAAACTGAAATTTCTTCTCACTTCCATTATTTATAAAAATAGTTTAAATGTGACTATGATATTTTTTTAAAAAAATTTTGAACCCAAAATACAGAAACAAAGCAATACAGTAAATTTTAATCAAACTAATAACTCTAAAACACAAAAATGCCTTCATATTCATGACTAAAATGCTATGTTGCCTTAAATCTATACAAAATTAATAGTTTTTTTTTGTCTTTATACTCTATATATGTAATGGCATCTTTTAAGACAATATTACAATTATTTTCAAAAAGCTTAATTTTAATTTTATATTTTAAATTTTAAACAAATTATCTTCCATAAATATTGTAACTTCTGAATATTTTCTTTTTTGATCACAGATAAAAATCATGATTATAAAATAATTAAGCAGCATCAAGTATTACTTTTTGGCATAGATTCAGGGAAGGAAAAGATATAATTACCTGGTGTTTAAATAATGATCAAAACTCTACAATCCAATGTATTCTTGCAGATTTTTTCATTTTGGTAAATAGACAAAAGATTTCTTTTGTTGATTTCTTGCAAAAAGTGGCAATGTATTCAAGGCTTGGTGGAGGAGATTTTGACAATGATGAAAAGATTGATTTTGTTCTTTTTGTTTCAAGAATCAACAAATGTGAAATTTTTTAAAGAGAAATTTTTTTTAAAAAACTTGTCATTAGATAAACATCACATAAAATATATATAAACTTATTTTTTTAAAAAATTAATTTGTTTTTTTCAATTTTTTTTCTTCGAAATTTTTAAAGAGTTTTTAATTTGTTTTTTCTGTTTTTGATCTTCATTTTTTCTTTTTTCTGTAACATATGTCATAAGCCCTTCATTTCTGTTTTATTTGAGTTTAATTTCAAAAATTTAGACATGAATTTTGGAAATCAAATACAGAAGAGTTTATTTTTATTTAAATTTGTAATTGCAGAAATAAAATATTAGTCTTTTGCTACCTACAACATATAATGTCACAATGTTCATATTTATAATTTTTAAAAAATATTAAGAATTCTGCATTTAAATAATTTAAAGTATTTTAATAATACAATATATAAAAAATCTTTAAAAAGTGTTGCTAAATTTATTTATAAAATTTAGATGTGTTATGAATAATTTATATTTGAATTCGTTAATATTGAAATAAAATAATTCATATCTAAATTGAAAAAAATCCA